GCTAAATAAAGTTCCCTGAGTTTTCCAAGTTATTCCATAACTTTGACGGATAAGTTCTAAGTTTATAATAAGAAAGCTATTTATGAAATGCGTTAAAAATATGTGTTTTTTTGTAAAACGGCAACAAGAACAATTTATGCAAACGTTTTTAAGACATGACAATCAGTTTTAAAGAAACAACATTTTTAATGTCTTCAATTTTTGCACTAGCAAAACTGTGCACAATTCTAAGAAGTTCTATTTATCTCAGAAAAGCTTGATCTAGAGATCTTTCGAGAGTTCCAGATATCTTAACGGGAAGTCCCCAAAACTTTAGCTCAGACTATTGGATTGGTTTTAAAATCTATAAGCGTTAGCCTAGACAAATTCAGGATAGTTCCATGATGTTCAATTTCAAGTCATAAATATTTCAAGAACTTCTCAGAAATCCAGAGAAGTCCAGGGAAGTTTAAAGGTGATCACGAGAATTCCATTTAATTTACAGCAGAACCGAGGTCTTCATTAAAATTGAGAGCCTTAGGGAAGCTCCGAGAACATCAAGACAGATCATAGAATTGAAGGGCAGTTAAAAAAAATCAAGAAAATTTCAGAAACCTTAAGAAGTTTCAAAATAATTTTCCGGCATTTTCGGAAACTTTGGTTTGCTCATGGAAATTTAAAGATTTAAAAAAATTCGAAAATTGTGCTATGTTGATTAGAGAACATTAACGAAGTTCCAGTAATTAAAAAAAAAAACCCGAATTTATCCACCTATGGTGTGATCAGACCCTTCTTACTTATTCAAGTTTATTTATTTTATTGTCATTATCAGTGAGCAAGCCCCCCACCCCCGTGTCATCCAGTGGCGCTACGCCACTGCCTGGGGGTATCCGGAATATATCCGGGTGTAGTCTATTTGGTGAGGCTACCAATCACCTTATCATCGTATTTTAATGTGATTTAATGGGTTTTAATTCAATTCATATTCAAGCAACTTCCCCGGGGTACCCGGAACATGTCCAAGTGTGTCCAATGTGGTCTGGAACACTTAACACGACTTGCATTGATCTTATTTTTGAATTCTGTAGTAATTTGATGTGTCGCATGATGGTTTTGATACGTTTTCCGTTAAATCCAGCGTGAAGGCCCATATTCACCGGATCTTATTCCGGCCATATCTCCGGAACCGGTTCACCGATTCCAAAACCGTTCAAAAGCGTTCAATGGGACCCGAAGACCTATCATTTGGCGCAGAATTTGTCCAAATCGGTTGAGCGGTTGCTGAGTAACGTGAGCGCATTCATTTCGTTACATACACACACACATACACACATACACACATACACACATCCACACGTACACACACACACACACACACACAGACATGTTCCGATCTCGTTGAGCTGAGTCGATGGTATATGATGGTTTTGATACGTTTTCCGTTAAATCCAGCGTGAAGGTCCATATTCACCGGATCTTATTCCGGCCATATCTCCGGAACCGGTTCACCGATTCCAAGACCTATCATTTGGCGCCAAGTTTGTCCAAATCGGTTGAGCGGTTGCTGAGAAACGTGAGCGCATTCATTTCGTTACATACACACACACATACACACATACACACATACACACACACACACACACACACACACACACACACACACACACAGACATGTTCCGATCTCGTCGAGCTGAGTCGAATGGTATATGACACTCGGCCCTCGGATCAATAGTCGGTTTTTCAAGTGATATCTATACCCTTCTTTGTAAGAAGTGTAAAAAGATGATAACTTTTAGCAAGCACCGGTAATTTCAAGAAGGTCCAGAGAACTTCAAATAAATTTAGATATTTTTAGATTGTTTCATTATATTCAGTGAAGTTCCGAGTATTTCAAGAACGATGAGATAACATCAGAACAATCCTATTAACTTAAGGAAATTTGCAGTGACTTACAATGAGTTCCTTGGAATTATGGGATGTTCCGAGAATTCTATGAATGATCTGAAAACTTTAGAAGATTCAGGGAATTATAAATTTATACCACAAAATTTACCGGAACATTTGATCAATTTAGAGAAATTAAGGTAAGCATAGAAAACTTCAGGGCTGGGCTTTCCAAGGAAAATTAGTGATTTAAGGCAAAGTTCCGTGAGCTTAAGAAAAATTGTAGATCTTAAAGGCAATTAAATCAATTCCAGTAAAATGCTGGGTTCTTTAAAAAAAAAACTAAGATATTCAGGGCAGCATAGAGAATTTTGAGTAAATTGAGAAATATTTTGGCCAGTTTTAAAAATATTAGGGAACTCTAGACTGTTGAAGAACTTCAGAAACTTATATGGACATTTCGGGAGCATTTCAAATAAGTTTAGTAAAGCTCCAAAAACAAGTCGAATTGCAAGGGGGTTCAGTTCCATTAGTTTCACTAAATTAGCGAGAAATTTCAAGAAGTTCCCAGATTTTCAGAGATCTTAAGAGATGTTAAGAAAATTGTTGAGGTTTTCACATAAGTCCAGAAGTTCACGGAAGCTTAAACATTTTTAGAACAGTTCAATTAAACTCAGGGTAGTACAACAAGCTTCATGTGAACTACAAACACTTTAGAGAAGTTTCGAGAACTTCAAGAAAGATATTGATCTCGCTTATAATGCTCTTCAAATTAAAAATAAAATAATAAAAAAAAATCAAGAAAGAACACATATCTAAAGAGCAGAAATATTTCAAAGCAGCGAAATAACATAAATTTTAAAAAAGTTTCGAGAAATTCAGTTAATTTTTAAGACTTTAGAGAAGATTCATGGTCGTTAGCAAAATTGTGGAAACTTTAGGAAGTCCGAAAAAGTTTAGAGAAGTTAAAAACATTGATGAGAAGTATTGCGAGCATCAGGCTAGTTTCTCAAATTACAAAAGAACTTCAAGGCAGTTTCATTAACTTCAGGAATATTTTGGGAACTTTCAAGCTGTTGTGAAGACCTCAGAATAGTCCATTGCATATTCAACGGAGGTTTCTCATGAAAATTCGCTTTTAGTTCTCCTCATCGAGCGTAGTATTCTCCCGGAACTCTCATGGAATTATGTCAGAAATTTACTTGGAACGCTTCTCTGATTTGTTTAAAACATATCACAAGAATATAGTTGGAATACTTCTCGTAATTCCATTGAAATATTCCCCAAAATGTCGTTGGAACTATCCTCCGAATTAAACGGCGCCGGTGGTGTAGTGGTAAGCGTGATTACCTCTCACCCCAGCAGGCCTGGGTTCAATCTCAGTCGGCGCCGCCGGGATGTTCTGAGGCATAACATCTCTGATCACGCCTTCCTTCGGATGGGAAGTAAAGCCGTTGGTCCCCGGTTCATGAGTTGATGGGTCGATACGTAGGGTCCAGAAGTGGGAGCTGCCTTCCTGGCACGTCGCATTGGTGCTCAGCACGGAAAACAAGATCGACGGGAAAAACAAACCAAAGGAAAAAAAAATACATCCTCCGAATTAATTTTTTTTTTTTTGCTTTTCCTAGGAATTGCCTTGAAATTCTCCTCAGTAAGAACTATTCCTAGGAATTTCCTTGAAATTCCCCTCAGTAAGAAAGATTCTCAGATTTTTCATCAAATTCATTTCAGATTTCCATTTTAATCTCACTCTTTCCCCTGCTCACATTGAAAGTCTCATAAGAATTTATTTTCATTTCTCCTCACAAATCTCTTGGATCTCCCCCCTTAATTTGTTTGGATTGCCATTGACGGCAATCGAATGTGCAGGAAGGCATCTTCCACACCTGCGTAGAATATTTCCCATTCAACACACATGGGCTGGGACTTCCCTGAAGCATCATTCTATTCAAAATTATCTTTTCAAAAAGTTTACTTATTGAAGAAAGCAAACTTATTGGACGGTAGCTAGAAGCTTCAGCTGGATTTTTATCCGGCTTCAAAATTGGAACAACTTTTGCATTTTTCCATTTATCTGGAAAGTATGCCAAATGGAAACATCTGTTACATAATTTTACCAAGAAAGACAAGGTACTCTCTGGGAATTTTTTGATAAGGATATAGAAAATTCATCACCTGGAGCTTTCATATTATGAAACTTTTTAGTTATAGACCTTACTTCGTCCAAATCAGTCCCCCAGGAATCATCAAAAATATTTACCCGAGAAAAAATATTCAGATAATTCCGAGCAACCTGATTCTCAATAGGACTAGTAAGACCCAAACTGAAATTATGGGAACCCTCGAATTGCTTAGCAAGTTTCTGAGCTTTTTCCAAATTTGTGATCAAAATTTTACCACCTTCTTTAAGCGCTGGAATAGGCTTTTGAGGTTTTTTCAAAAACGGGTTTGGATCTCGGATCTAATTTAGAAACATTATTTCAAAAGTTTTGTTCCTCAGGGCAGATAATCGCCTTTTAACCTGTTATTCAAAATCCTGCCAGATAACTTTCATGGCAGCATCACGTGTTCTTTGATATTGTCTCCTACGGACATTTTTAAGACGGATCAAGAGCTGAAGATTGTCGTCTATTATAATTGAATCGAATTTAACCTCGCATTTTAGTACTGAGGCAGCTCTTGCTTCAGTTCAATTAACATTCCTTCTCTTCTCCAATGACCGACAGGACGTGGCTGGCGTCTTTATTGATTTGAATGTACAAACTCACCGGAATCTGTACACCGATAAAGGATTCCTTATCCCAAGCTTCAATCAATTGGTGCTTTGGTATCTGTTCATTATTATCCGAATGCTGTTATTTGGTATTATCCCTTTCAGAGCTCTAACAGTGGTTTGTCCGTCATTCCAAATTCAATGCACAAATAACGATGTATTGCATCCGTGTTAAAAATAGATTATAACAACAGTCTTAATTTTCCAATGGTAGAGAAAAAATTTACCGAGTCAAATGCGTACTACAAAATCAACCATCCTGTGAATGCTAACTCCACCACCGAAAAGAAGAACCATTCCACCAATGAGTGGATGTCATTTCACCATTTTGTTCATGTAATTCATCAACCTAACATCTTTCCAGGTATACCGCATCGAAACATGGTTGCCGCACAAAACTCGAGTCGCGATTCGGAAAATTGAAAATACGTAGTCTACGCAAATTCCACGCATCATACAGAAGCAAATCGGAACCAGTTGTAGCGTTAACCATTCGTCATTTTTCCGCCTGCAGTTTTGTAAATATTTCCTTCCGCCACGATAGGACCCACAACTGCCGCAGCGCGACATTTCTCATAGCTCAGTGGATCGAGAGAATATATAGGAAAAGTTGCTCATGAATAAATAGTTGCATTCCGTCTGGGTTGCGTAAAAATCATAAAAAAATATTAAAAAGAGGAGGTTTCACATTTCTTTCGTCCCTACAAATTATGCATACACGGGAGAAGAGATGCACGGGTGCGTGTGTGGAGTGTTGAATAAGTCGATTGCGAGGGTTATCAATTATAAATAGGCTCGGTGGGGTGGAAAACGAGCAACGTGCAGTCCGAGGTGGGATGGAAAAATATTAAATTTGCAAAAACGAGCTCGGTTGTAGTGCGGAAGGGCAAGAGAAAAAAAAAGTCGGGAAGAACCAACAGGAAAAGTATGTAAATTATTCCTTGGCAGAAAGTTTGTTTTTTGTTTTTGTTTCGATCCACTCCCAGGTTTCCGGATTCCACATGTATGAACCGGATCGGCAATAACGGTGAATTTATGAATCTCCCGGGAATTCCTATCGGAAATTGAATATTTTCGCACAAATTTGCAAGTTATTTGCCTCCTGCTCCTGGGAGACCCGGAGCGTGGTCGTGTGGCCAGTGAAGCTCTGAAAGAAGGCAACAGTGCAGTTCCTCACTCTGAGACAATGAGTAGATCGGGGCCGGCGAAATCGCTGGCAACGGCGCTCGGATCGGGGGAAGTGGTTTCGACATCAGTGCTTCTGCTGCTGATGCTACTGCTGTTGGATGGAGCACGGTGCGATTATGAAAATACCTGGAACTTTTACTACGAACAGCCCTGCTGTGGAAGCAACGGAAATGGACAGCACCATCTGCGACATCACAGGGGTAAGTTTGGAATGATATCGATCAAAGGGGTTGCCGGGTAGCAGCATTTCTTTTCAGCCTTCATTGAAATTCAACTGTTTGTGCTATTTATTTTGCAAAATAAACTAACATTTTAGGACGATGACAAAACAAAAAAACCTTTGATAGAGCACATATGTGCGGTATAATTTCCCTTCCAGTGTTGCAACTTTTTCTCAGTACAATAAACGCATCCAGCTCAATATTCCTTTCGTCATAAGTTACTTTGAAACCCAGAAGTGGATGAAATTATTTTCCACTGAATACTCGTATCTCTTAAACATGTATTGCACGAAACAACCGCATGAGTCATACCAAAGTAAATAGAGAGCTGTTACGATGCGCGTATGGTGCCTACTGCCTGAAGCCATTTAGATTCCGACTAATGGTTTTATAATGATTCCTTACGAGTTTTTAATTCTATTGCAAGTTTTATGAGCTGCAGAAGGAAAAGTTTCGGTTCCTTATTTTCCCGTATGCCCGATTGAAATGTGAACAAAGAGTGCGATCTGTTAACATTGTTTCGATAATAATAATAAACGGTTGACCTCTCTTTTTTTGCGTTTTGAAAAACTGAGACGTATTGCATCATTCTCCTGAATCGTCATATCGCAGATTAACATCAGCCTCTACAAAGCAAACATGTTCCATCGTAAGCCCCTTTCTGCGAACGCAGGCTAATACTCCCTTCCAGGAACTTGGATGCCGGGAAGTTGTGCTCTTCATTCGAATGAATATACAGCAGCACTGAGCAGCTTCGAACAATTCCTCCCTCCAACTACCCTATCAATCCCATTTTTAACCGTCATTGCCATCATCGGTTGACGGCGCCTTCCATCCGGTCCTTTCTTCACCAGAAAGAAGCGACACGTTCCAGCCTGCATCGATGGAATGAAATTAATTTAAATGGAAGTCAGCTGCCGACTTCAGGAGAAGTCTGCTAGATGGAAAATTTTCGATTCTGTTCCAAATGCAGTGATTGTACGACCTCTTTTTTTTCGTAATTTATTCATCAAACCTTCAAGCGACATCTTTGGAAAGCTATCGCTGGGTTGGACCTTTTATGCGAGCTGTGTAAAATTAGAAAGCGATTGGAATGTTGCTTACAGCAGTTGATTCCTTGAATTGTCTTGCATTATGACATTTCAGGCAAGATTACCAATACTCATTTCAGAAAAAAAAAAAATGTTTTTAGGAATTGTGAAATCATTAGATGTTATTATCATATTTTTCTTTATTTGTAAGATACAATAAGAGGTTGTGTATAGCTTCCTGAGAGTCGCAATCAGCGATTTGATCAATTTTCACTCATATGCTCATATGATTCTCATATCATACAATAAATAGTTTCCATTGCTTCTACGTACTAGGGTCCTTGAGCTTATCTGTTTGAATATTAGTCGATAGCTAGACGAGCTAACCCACATCGATTTTCAAAGATATCAGGATCAGCCAAAACATACCAATGAAAACTCACAAGTCTCTTTTTCATGCCAAAAGCGAACCAAGCTGAAATCTATTTCTTTGGTGAATGAAAAATTTTTCAGAAAGCATATCAGCTATCAATCTATTATGAATTTTATCCGAAATTGATTCAGAATCTGTTTCTGACAGGAAAATAAAATAAAACTATCTCACTCGATTCTATTTTCCTCAAGCTGCTGGTCGGGATGCTTCTATAGGTTGTTCGACAGTGATTAGCTACTTATTTATGTGGATTTCGCTTGGCAGTCTCGAGGAGATTGAAAACCATAGTTAAAAAAGTGGTTCAAAATATTGATTTTGCTCCACCGGTGTAGGGCCATTAGCATGCTTGGCATACACAGTTGTACACACCAACTGCTCATTTTTTAATAACTGTTCACTCAGATGTTGAATTTTTTTTTAAAGTAATTGATAGATTAAGATCATAGCTTACTTAAGATATGCAAAACGTAGATAAATCTTAACATTTGAATTAACACCAATGAATTTTTACTCATTAAGTCCGAGATATGTTCAGCGAGCATTTCTCACTTAATTTTTACTACGCAAAACCAAATACAGTTTATTACTAGAATTAAAATCTACTTTGTTTTATGTATCTATAAAAGCTTAAACTCTATTCTACCTACTGCTTCAAAAAGAACTATGTTTCGTCAACTCTGTGTAAAGTTATTAGCAAATGAGCAGTTCGTGACCAAAACTGTGTATGCCAAGCATGGCCATTAGGTCAAATGTCATGAGCTCGAAAGCCATCAGGCCGATAGCAAAAAGTGATAAATTGATTTCAGAATGTTCTTTGAAACAATTTCTATGGGACTGTTATATTTTTCAGATCTCTGTCCTTACTGTATTGAACTGTGAATCATATCAAAGATTCTGAATCCTCATCATTCTAAGTATTGAAAAATCCTGCAAGATCTGATTTCAAGAGAAAAAAATTGACCACTTACTTGATCCTAATTATTAAGAATGTTAACTTGGAAAACTGTTCAAGATTCAAATTTGGAATGTGTTGAGAAAAAAATCGAGACCTGAGGAATTTGTGGCCTCCAATTTTTCAGAGCTAATTTCTGTTTCTAATAAACATGTCTTTTGAGTTTAAATGTTTCAATCTGAAGAAATGCCTAGCTCGAGATATTTCATAGGAGATTACAATAACACGGGTCTTTCGACAAGTTCATGGAACATACAAAAAGCTTAAAGCACTTCCGACAAGCTCACGGAACTTCCGAAAACTTCACGGAACTTACAACAAGTTTTCGGAATATTAGATAAGTTCAAAAAACATCTGTTCATGGAAATCATCCGAGATGTTCTTGGAAATCCCGATAAGTTTAAGGATCTTTCTACAAGTTCGCGAAACTTCCAACAAGTTCACAGATTTTTCGAAAAGTTTACAGAGCTTCTGACAAGTTCGCGGCATTACCAACAAGTTAAAGGATTTTACAACAAGAACACTAAACATTTGAAAATTTCATGGAACTTCCGTTTTAAGGATCATTCGACAAGTTCACGGAATATGTGACAAGTAAACAGATCTAGCCGGTCGAACTCTAGACGAAACTAGAACCGCACTACCGTTCATACTGGCAACAACGCTCTGATGAGACAACGAAACCTCACCCCGAGCTCCTCCCATGATCCTATCCTTCGTCAATGTATCCCTCTAATTTCAGGTAAGCGGCGAGTATTCGGCCCAACTCCTACTATACATAGAGTTAAGTGAATTTTGTTGAACAATAAACAATTAATTATCGACTCCGAAAAGCTAATGCGATTGAGCCTTTCAAATAAACGAACTAGATAAAAAAAGTTCACAGATCTTTCAGGAAGTTCAAGGATCTTCCACAAGTCTGACAAGTTCGCGGAACTTCCGAAAAGTTCACAGAATTTCCAACAAGTTCATGGAACTTTCAAAAATTTCACAGAACTTCTGAAAAATTCGTGAAACTACCAACATCTTCACGGAACAACCAATTAGTCTACGCAACATCTGACAAATAATAATTTATTGATACCACTCCATAATCTGCATCTTGTCAAGAGGCTCTCCTGAGCTTCATGGACTCATACAGATTTTCAGTACATTGGTCAAGACATCATTGCGTCTGCAGAATTTCAAGATCTTAGCTCCAGAATAGTTTGGAGATTATTGAATATCTTATTGTTACCATTCTATGACGCACATGTTATCATGAAGCTTTAAAAAACTCGGAAGATGTGATGAAATATCGGGAGCGTGCGTACCAAACCACATTTAGTCTATAAGACATCAAGATCTTAACTCCATAATATTTTGGAGAACCTTAAAAACTTCAGGATTTTTAAATTATGATTAATAATTAATGTAGGCACACACTAATACAAAACTTGCCAAATAATGCAGATGAAGCAAAAGCATATTTTTGGCCCCGTCTTTGTACCCGAACAGGAGAACATAAGTTATGAATACCAAATTCAGGTATGAACATAGCATAACTGCCCAAGTAACAATTTTGGTTTTATGAGAGTTCTGTAGACCATGAATTAGACTTGTAGAATGCTATAAAACCTCTATAAAGCTTGCAATGTTATTTGGGTGGCAACCTAAATATGGTATTGACAAGGCTGACGTAAAAGGCAAAATACCAAAAATAATACAACAAAGATGTTCTAAGAATACTAATACACTAATACATAATTTAATGATTTGAATTACTGACAGATAACAGACGCTATTGTTGATGCCAGAATACCATAATACGTTGATTAAAAGGTCTTCTAATAACAATTTAAAAACTTTTTTAGGTGTTATTGTCTAAGATCTTAAAGATCACATTTTGCTATTTTGGTATTTATCTGATATTTTACAAAATATTTCAATTTCTGAATAATATCAAAACAGAGTTTTATACCTCAAGCATACCAACATAAAGTATCATACCACATTAAGATAGTTAGTTATCTGTACTTGCTGGGGTAGTGATTTGTTCGAAACCTAAATACAGATCGAAAGAGCTATGGGGAGCAGGGGATTATGATGCGCCATACAACCTTAATACTCCATACACATTGCTAAAAAGTTATGTAAATTTCGGTTCCCTAAGACCAACACATGTAAGAGGCCCTTTTGACATAAGAATCAGTTGTAAGAAACGACAAAATCATTTCAATCAAACGTTCTCTTCGTCGACCTGCTTATGTTTCGGTTTGAGAGCACTTAATTTTACATGAAATGCTTGTTTACGTTCCATGATTTACGACCAATATGGATTACGTCTCGTGTAAAAGAAGTTATGTTAAAGCGTGTATGTAATCATCAGCTTCTGTCAGTATTACGTGTACCGCACTCGAAATCAAGAGGCGAGGTTTACTATAACCATTTGATGGATGAGATTTTCAGTATAATGTCTTCTGGTGGTTTAAGAGCAAAAGGTCGAAGGACATAAGGTCTAAAGACAAAACGTCAAACGGATAAAATGTCGATGAGAAAAAAAAGGTCGATGGGAAAAAAGGTC